CTCTCCTTCTTCACTGCAATAACAGTCGTTTCAAGAGGAGACTCCCTGAAAACATATATGTAGCGAGGCTGACGTGCCTAGAGGGCGGCCATCTTGGATCGGACCACAGTTCCAACAGTTTCTGTCAGAATGAATAGAATCACATGAAACACCAGTCAGAGATAATATTACAATAATCTCTTATGTGTCACAACCCCTTAAAAGACCTAAACAAATTCTAAAATTACCTTTCAGTTAGATTACACATATTTATTAAAATTTTAAAAACAATTTTACCTGAACTCAAACTGGATGAGATATATGCAACGTTATATGTTAAATGGTAATATGATAAACACAAAGTTTTATATTAATGTACAGGTCCACCCTTAAGAATGGGGGTCGTTTTGGCTTCTTCGTTTGCCTGTAATACCCGATTCCTGTCTATGTCTCTGAAAGGGGGGGGGGTTGTTAGCGGGAGTTTTTGACCTGGCTGAACAGGTGAAAATTGGCTTTTGAAAAAACTTCCTGAATAGGAAGCGAAATGTCTTCAAACTTGAAAGAAAAAAAAAGTCCAGTGGATTGTTTTTTTAAAACTTTTTTGGAATGATATGTTGAGACAAAAATAACAAAAAACAACCTGATAGTTTGACTATTTTCTATACTTACTTTTACCCCGCTTAGCTAGGATAAACTGAAGTACCCAGTTAGCTATTAATCTTCTGCTTAGTATATTTTTAAAATCAGTTTTAAAAATGCTAGTAATTTACAAAGCTATCTATCTGCAAATAGAATCAATTACCCTACTTTTTTATCTAAGCTAAGCTATGCTAAGCTAGAGGTCACTAGAATATGCTTTGTAAACTATCTGCTTCTTTTAATACGTTTTACTTTTCAGAGCTAAGTGTAAACGTAGTTGCTTAATCTTTCCCTTGTTCACTTTGGCAAAGCTAAACAGCCACTAGTTCCTAAACAAATATGCACAAAGATATGCTAAACTATCTAGCGGTAAAATGAGGCCTTTTTCTTTTCATACGTTTTCCTCCAAGATAAGAAACCCTTTCTCAGGCTAACGAGTATCTAGATGGAGTCTTCTCCTAATCGCACTTAATTCCCTTTTATAAAATGAAAGTTTATTATCAACACAGTGAGCTAATGAGACGGTGCTTTCCTTTTAGCCTCTCTCTGTCTTGAAAAGACAAAGACCCCCAGTGTTAATGGATATAGCGTCATGTTCTCTGCCATTTTTTACAACAATTTGGGACTGTAGGGGAGCAAAGGAGAAAAGGCTAGCTATTGACGTGCCAGCGCCTCTTGGTGACCGCACTGAAAGCACATGTGGCTTTCTTTTCTCCCCCTGTGACAGTTTAATTGTATTTTCAATACAAATTGATCAAAGGGCCATTGTGAATGCACATTGGGCTGCCACATTGATTTCTACATAAGTTTTTTCCCCCCTCCTTCTTCCTCTTAATTTGAGTAGAAGGCCAGCAGTAAATTTTTCTCACCAGCAAGGTAGGCAGCTGGGAGGGACAGGGTCACAGCAGCAGGCGTTGAAGTTTCGATCCTATGAACTGTCTTGTAATATCTTTCACAGGAGCTGAGGAGGAACTCTTCAGAACCTCAAGATCTCTCTGTTTCCATAGAAATGACAGTCGACACGGAGCGTGTAACACCGTCTATCTCACATCTCAGCCCAAAGGAGCGGACTCGATGGTTATTAACTGAACAGTTGTGGAGGCAGAGATAGGCAGGTTGATAGACAATCATAGAAAAGGACATTGCAGCTATAACAGAGGGAGAAAGATAATAAAGTTGAAGTGGATTGTTTTCAGCCAACCGAGTCTGTGTTTGGAAGCGCATGCAGCAAAACAGAAACCCACTGCAAATGAAATCCTGCAGAATATTCTCCGGCTGTGCAGAAGGAGCCGTTTTTGACCAGAATTCAAGAGGGTGAATGAAACAGTCAAGATCCTAATCCAAATGTAGTGAAATTCTGCGACACACTCGACTGGGGATGGATAGGCAGGCGAACAAAACAGTGTTAAATACCCTAATCCAGAAAGCTGTTGGCCTCACATGTGCCAGGCCTGATAAAAACTCCATGAATTAGTAAAGCCTCCGAGCACCTGCGATGGAAAGCTTTTTAAGATGTGATGAGTAGGGCAGACTTTGCTCCCACGTGACCCAGTTGCAATGCGAGAATATCCACCCTCGATCTGTCCTCACTGTGAGCCAAAGACAGAAAGCAATGCACAAAATGGTTGAAAAAACTCCCTGAATCAAAGAGAATTACTTGGGTTAATCAGGTTTCTGTAGTTTCTTGTGTCTGCAGACATTTGCCCCTCATTTTGACCCCTTCTTTCCCACATGCAGCTATGATTATAATGTTCATGGTTATTATTGTAGTCGGGTGAAGAAGGAGGAAGAGGGGTGGACAGGCCTTTTGATGAGTTCTCTGAGATAAATATGTTAAGGGGGATTTAGTAGAGGAATTAAAATGTCAGAGCATGCTAAGCTGCTGTTCATGTGGGGAGGCGGGGCAGAAATACAGTGGCTTGTAAAGTTATTCATCCCCCTCAGACTTTTTTTCATTTTATCGCATTGCAGCCACCACACTGTATGAAGGCCTATTTTATCAGGTTTTTACGCCATAAACCAACACAGAGTAGCACTCTGTAGTGAAATGAATGAAGTTTCAACATTTTCTACAGAAAAATCAACAATCTGTCCTTCTTCTGAACATGGATAAACCTGAACATGTTCTTCCTTCTATGAAACATGGTGGTGGAAGGATTACTGTAGTAGCCATTTATAATTTCCCCACTTGACTTGATGGGCCCTTGGCTGGTCCCCTACAATTGCTTGTTTAAACATAAATTCAATTCAGTTTATTTCTATAGCGCCAATTCACAACACATGTCATCTTAAGGCGATTTATAGTTCATCAGATCATCCAGTCAAATTAATTCAAAGTTTTCTATCTAAGGAAAACCAGCTGATTGCATCGACTCATTGACTCGACAGCAATCCCTCACACTAAGCATGCTTTTAGCGACAGTGGAGAGGAAAAACTCCCTTTTAACAGGTAGACACCTCCAACAGAACCAGGCTCAGTGTGAGCGGCCATCTGCTGAGGCCGACTGGGGTTCAAGGAGACAGAAGCAGATATACAGAGCCACAGCCAGGCAGACAAGCTCCGAACCAGCTCTCATGACAGAGGATGAAGAGAGCACATCTAGCCAGTCACAGTCAGAGAAACAGGACTACACTGAAAAACAGGCCGATGTCAAACATAAACAAAGATGTTGGTGGCAGCACAGCTGATATTTCTTTCCAGGATGGAGTCACAGCCAAACAGGAACAGACCAGATGAAGCTACTATGAGAAAAAGCAGACAGAGCATAATGTTAGAGATTGAACTAACTGATTCTGAAGAGTGGTAGAATAGAGCTATAATGAAGCAGAATGATGAAAAAGGGGTCCCTATGTCCTCCAGCAGTCTAAGCCTATAGCAGCAAAATCAATCTTTGTACTAAAATATGCTTTCTGTCATGACATTAGGTTCTAAGAGAAGCATCATCTCCTGGTCAGACTCTGTCATTCAGTAAAAGAGTGGAGTCAAAGTAAAAATATATGCAAGAGGGGGTCACTCCAGTGGCTGGAAGTTGGAGGGTATTTTGCTGGGAGTTGCGGGGAAGTTGGCTGCCATTCGGCTGGCATTTAACCGGGAAGGGACATTTGGAATAGATGCTACTGTCTGCTGCAGGGATGCTATTAACATGAAGATAGATGAAGCTAAATGTAGGATAAAAGACTGGAGGTTGNCGCGTCAGAATTCACTGGTACAAGCAGCAAAAATGAAGCAGCAGACGCGATTTTGCTGCTTTTGCTGCCCCCGGTGTGAACGCAGCATAAGAGAAGCATCATCTCCTGGTCAGACCCTGTCATTCAGTAAAAGAGTGGAGTCAGAGTAAAACTATATGCAGGAGGGGTCACTCCAGTGGCTGGAAGTTGGAGGGTATTTTGCTGGGAGTTACGGGGAAGTGGGCTGTCATTTGGTTGGCATTTGACTGGGAAGGGACATTTTGAATAGATGCTACTGTCTGCTGCAGGGATGCTATTAACATGAAGATAGATGAAGCTAAATGTAGGATAAAAGACTGGAGGTTGGGCAGTAATGCTTGAAGTGATATGGGAACACATTCAAGTCACTTTTTAAGATCACTTACTGAACATTTTTCAGCCACTTTACAGTCATGGACTTTTTTGGAAAAGTATGAGCAGTTTTATTTGTCAGGGTATAGACAGAAGCAGCAGAGAAAGATGGCGTCTCATGGTGGCTGCGTTCAGGTAGGGCCGTCAGGGAGCGGGTGGCGTTGTGAAAACCCCACAACAGGAGAGCGTGACAACATGAGTGCAACAATCGCAGCGAGCGCAGCTTCTCTGCTTGGCAGATTTCACAGAGGCGAGGTGAAGCGTGTGTCATCATAACACGGTGACAGTTTACTAAAGATGATAGGAATCTGTTAAATGACACCAAACACGCTCGATCAAAGCTGTCAGCGTTTATTTGCCAAGGCCCAGATTGGTCAGAACGCTGATGTTTGCATGTGCCATGTTGAGGACTGCGACTCTGCTTTGAAAAGTGCTCTCTACTGACAGTTTTTGGTACAAAGTGTTTCTTTGCAGGGATGTGTGTTTTCTTTTTTAGTTTTTTTTTGACAGAGATCCTCTGTCAGTCAAGCCTTCGCCTCTGAGTTTTTTCCTTTTTCTTTTTGACTGTTCTATCTGCAGCTTTTGATCATTTTATTTTCCCCTGAAAAGCTGTAGCCTGGTGTTCATAAAAGCAAATTAAGCAAATGTGAAAGCTCTTATGAAGCCGAGTTTGAAGCACTGCTGCAACAATTAGCAGCAGAAAGCAGCAAAGTGGAAATTTATTATAATGAACATTATACAAACTGCTGCCTGTTGTTATTGTGAGGCTGCAGGGATTTAAATCGACCTGTCTTTCTGTGTAGCTCCACTCGGACGGGGACCGAGGAGACGGCAGCGTGAGGTACGTCCTCACCGGGGAGGGAGCGGGGACCCTCTTCAAGATCGACGAGAAGTCTGGGGACATCCACGCCACCAAGAGGCTGGACCGCGAGGAGAAGTCCTACTACATCCTGCACGCCAAGGCCGTCAACCGTTTCACCAACGAGGCGCTGGAGGGCGAGTCCGAGTTCATCATCAAGATCCACGACATCAACGACAACGAGCCGCGCTTCACCAAGGACCCGTACATGGCACGGGTTCCAGAGATGTCCGACGTCGGTACGTTTCTGCAGCTTAATCTGCCTCCGCCTGGAAAAAACATTTAGTGATAATTCATATAAACTATTAAACTTTTCCACATTTTTCTTAATTTAACCAAAAACAAATTTAAAAGTGGAATTATTACAATTTAACTGCTTCAATGAGTAAAAATTCATTCCTTAAGTAGTCAATAAATAAATGAAGCGCAGAGGGCTCCCAGCTCAGATTAAACTAACAATCTATATCCGTTTTGATTACACCTTCCGCACTATGAGGTGTGGTGGTGGCTGCATCATGCTGAGGGGATTTCCTCAGCAAGGATAATGAAACTAAATGCTGAGGCTATCACAGGATAAAACTTTAAAAACTGAGACTAAGGAAGTGTAAACTTATTTTATTTTAAGGAATCAGGAAAAAAGGGAAAGAATGCAGATGAATGCCACAGATTTACAAATATCAAGTAGCAACATTTGAATAAAATACAAGATTTTTAATGTGGGAAATTTTAAGCGGGTTGAATAATTTTGTAAGGTACCATAGCAAAGATTTGCAAGGAGCTTCACTACTAAAACTAAAACATTTTTTTCAGTAGTACTGCTCAAAGTATCTGATTACTTCATTCAAACATGATTAAAGTGAGGCTGAAATCACTCCATCAATCTGATTACTGGATTAATTTCTTAATAAATTGCACGAGGTCTGCTTGTCTCGTCCATTTTGCCTGCAAACAGTAGTTTTAACTCTTAGCTTCTAAATAGCCTCATATGCAGGGAACTTTCAACCTTCAGGGTGAAACGAAGAACATCCAGGAGTTTCCAACAAATTCTCCTTCAGAAAGCCGCCAGTGCAGAGCTTGCTGAACAAAAATTGGGTGTTTTCAGGCATCTGAATGCCCTTAAAGAGCAATTTCTTCCAATATAAGCAAATAATTTAAGGATTACTGCAGGATGGAGCTGCATTTTTAATGATGGATTGTTTGATGAAGGGGTTAGAGATTCCTTACAGAAATTTCATGTTAAAGTTTGTGATACTATTACGTGATTACGTGTGATTGATTAATTTTGCTGACATGTTTGTAAATCAGCCAATAGTTTCATTTCAGAAGCTGTTTGTTGGTGAATAGCTGGATTTTCTTTGTATGGAATTAATGTTTAAATTCAAGATATTACATTGAATGGTTCTTTGATTAGACAAAATGTCTAAATCTAAAACTGCCTTGTTTGAATCCTCACCAGTTTCCATCTAATTACCAAATAGTGCAACCCTAGCTGCATCTGTCGAAGGAAAACCAACAGATTGGGTCACAATCCGTTTTCAGGGTTTGATCCAGAGGCTGATCTCCAGTCAGGAGATTTATAAAAGTTATAAAGTAGAGGGAAAATGTTTGAGCCAGGAAAAGAGAACATCTGTTTCGCTGCTGGAAACATAAATTGATGATATGAGCGCAGGTGAAGGTTGAGCTGCATTAACAGGATTATGATTCAGACCGGCCGGGGACGTTCTAAAACAGAGGATCAGTGGGATTTTATCAATCATCATAATGACGCCAACTCAACAAAGAGGGCACGACTAATTAAATGAGAGACGAGGAGCGGCTCCACGTCCAGACCAAACAGCCGCTGCAGCAGATAATCTTTTAAACACAGTATTGTAGTCTATTAAAGCAGAATTTAATTGAATTTAATTAGCAGCACTGTCAGCTGTGTCACCGCAGCGAATAAGTGTGGATTTTACTCCTGCGGCTCCCAAAGCTGCACCATTTGTATCATCATGAGCTCCTGCCATCCGCCTTCAGATTAAAGTTTAATTCTGCATGCACTCTGGCTGCAGCTCTCGGTCTAAAAGGGCCTCATGAATATAGATAAACAACATAAAAAGGCTCCCAATCAATACTTGCATGAAAACATAAGAGGAGCGGTTGGCTGTGCTGATGCTCGCCGCGGTCAGACATGTGACACGCTTGTCACTCGGTTCAGCAACCCCGAGCGAGAGAGGGGCCGGCACTTATCTGAGGGCAGCACGGGTGCCCATGGCAACAGGCGAGGTGTGATGTCAGCGCATGGCAGAGCATGTGTTCACGAGTGACTGCGCAGAGACACTGCTCCTTTAAAAGTGACACTGGCTTTAAGTTTTATTACAGCCTCACAGCTCTGACGTGTGAACTCTGAATGATCACAGGCAGAAAAGAAAAAATAATCCTGTGATCGCTCCTCACTCCTTTGTCAGGAGCAGATTTAAAGGTGACTGATGTGGATCTGTGACAGAAGAAAGCCTCTTCCAGTCTAATTCCATTGTCAAAGGTATTAGCGACCAGGGTTCGCTGAACTTCCTCAAGAATCTCCGCGAAAACTGTCATTTAAACCGAATCAGACAGCCCAGCTCTGCCTCAGTCTGATGGTTCTGGTTCTAACGCTTCACACAGAACTCAGCCCACATCAAATTAGCAAAACCTCCATCAGGTCACTCTGCTCTTCTGTCGCACAATTCCGTATTTATAGCACTTTGCCATTAAATATTTCTACTCAATTAATTTCCCTCTGCATGTAATGAGGCAACACTTGGCCCGCAAGGCGCCGTTTGGGAGGTAGCACTTGGCTAATGGTTTCCCTTTGTTCTTTCTGGAAGAGAAACTGGATCACAAACGTTCACCTGCCGTCACAGACACAAATATTCACTTTTTATATTTCATCCTATTGCAAACCCCAAACTTTGATGCATTTATTAGGATTTTATTAGAGCAAAGTTGTGAGGAGAAAGGAGAAAAACACATTTTATTCACATCTTGCTATTGGTTTTCTGTGTCAAAGAATATTATATTGGATATTGATATATTTTCACATCGGTGAATCGCTCAGACTAAAGCTAGCAGCTGCATTCAGAATGTGTAGCAGCGGTGTAACAAAAGCTTAAAAAGCTGAATAGTTTTCCAGGCGCTGTATCTGTTTCTCACAGACTTTAAAATGTTGATGGGCTTCCTGGGGATCGGAGGCAGAGATATGTTTACATTAGAGCCTATCGATTACCTGTAGAAATCAATCATGTGTGTGGATATAAGGGGCGTGGGGATAAAGATTGCTCCAGGTAATGTAAAGAGACAGAAACGATCCGTCACATTCAGAGGAACATGGGACAGCTCATCAGAAGGAGCAGCCGCCCTGACCAATTATCCACAGGCTCATCCTTCAGCAGCATCCAGGAGTTGATGGGAATCATTGTCCTGATTTTAGGTTGGTTTTGTTTTTTTCTCTCTGCAGGAACCTCTGTGATTCAGGTGACGGCCGTGGACGCAGACGATGCCACGTACGGGAACAGCGCCAAGGTGGTGTACAGCATCCTGGAGGGCCAGCCGTACTTCTCTGTGGACCCTGAGACAGGTGAGAACCGGATCCAGTTGGCCGCCATTCAGTGCTCAACGCTGATCCTGAAACGGGCCTTTCTGGGCCAAGCTGGGTCCGAACACATCCTCACTAGTTTAAATAAACAAGGTTCTGAGGGGTTTTCCAGATCAAACCTGAATTAAGTCATCTATAGAAATTATTTAAAAAATTGGATTCAAACTTCAAAAATATTTGAAGTGTTAAAAATAACTTAAGGATTTAATTCTTTGCTTTATAATAATTGACTAATTATATATTTTTTTTGTCAGTTTTAGTTTCTCACATTGCCTATTGGTGATCAACTTTATTAAAATTAGTGGTGGGCATAGATTTTGTGTTTTAATCTAGATTAATCTCACTGTAATTATGGAATAATCTACATTAAATTTGTTAATTTGTATTCTGCCAAAGGCATTCATGATATGTGTGCTACCTCCAGAATTTAAAGGAAAAGGTGTACTTTTTTATATTTGCAAAATCACCTGTAATTTTCTCTTCTTACTTAAGTTTTACTTTTTTTGCTCATTTCTTACAGTTTTTTGCTGCAGGAAATAGAGTGTCCCACTTTCAATTATAGACGCCCACCTTTAATAATATAGTGTCTCCAAAAATCTGACTCTCACATCGCCTTGATCAACTTCTCATCTTTTGCGCCTTTCTCTGCGGCGTGCTGCTCACGTATTCTCCTCCTGATAGTTAACCATGCAGGTAGTTTGTAAGATGGGTCACCTGTGGACACCTGGAGAACGAGCTCAGCTTGTGGCTATCCACTGAGCGAGGAGATTGGTTAGCTTGGTGGATAGAGCTATGCTTATAGATAAGAGGTCATGTATTAGCAGACTGCGGTCCGGATCCGGACCCAACTTGATTTAAAACATTTATAAATTCCTGCATGTTGTCTGACGACAGTGTCTAATTTCACTTGCGCCACTTCTCCTGTTAATACGGTAAAACCCTCCAGAGCGTCCAGCACCAGGTTGCACATGATCCAAATGATCCAA